AACTGAAAACCCTGCTTCTGAATGACTACTGGATAACCAACAAAATGAAGGCAGAAATAAAGATGTTTTTTGAAACCAGCGAGAATGAAGACATAATGTACCAAAATCTTTGGGACACATTTAAAGCAGTGTGTAGAGGAAAATTTATAGCACTAAATGCCCAAATGGCAAAGCAGGAAAGATCTAAAATCAGTACCCTAACATCACAATTAAAAGAACTAGAGGAGCAAGTACAAACAAATTTAAAATATAGCAGAAGACAAGAAATAACTAAGATCAAAGCAGAACTGAAGGAGATGGAGACACCAAAAACCCTTCAAAAAAGTAATGAATCCAGGAGCTGGTTTTTTGAAAAGATCACCAAAATAGACCATTAGCCAGACTAATAAAGAAGAAAATAGAGAAGAAACCCCCATCCTCTCAGCCCAAAATCTCCTTAAGCTGATAAGCAACTTCAGCAAAGTCTCAGGATACAAAATCAAAGTGAAAATATCACAAGCATTCCTATACAGCAATAACAGACAGAGAGGCAAATCATGCGTGAACTCCCATTCACAATTGCTACAAAGAGAATACCTAGGAATACAACTTACAAGAGATGTGAAGGACCTCTTCAAGGAGAACTACAAACCACTGCTCAAGGAAATAAGAGAGGACACAAACAAATGAAAAAACATTTCATGCTCATGGATAGGAAGAATCAATATTGTGAAAATGGCCATATTGCCCAAAGTAATTTATAGATTCAATGCTATTCCCATCAAGCTACCACTGATTTTCTTCACAGAACTGGAAACAACCACCTTAAATTTCATATGGAACCAAAAAAGAGAGCCTGCATAACCAAGACAATTCTAACGGGGGAGGGGGGGTGGGAAGCTGGAGGCATCATGCTACCTGACTTCAAATTATGCTACAAGGCAAACAACATGGTACTGGTACCAGAACAGATATACAGACCAATGGAACAGAAGAGAGGCCTCAGAAATAATGCCACACATCTCCAACATCTGATCTTTGACACCCTGACAAAAACAAGCATTGAGGAAAGAATTCCCTATTTAATAAATGGCAGTGGGAAAACTTGCTAGCCATGTGCAGAAAGCTGAAACTGAAACCCTTCCTTACACCTTATACAAAAATTAACTTAAGAAGGATTCAAGATTTAAATGTAAGACCTAAAACCATAAAAACTCCAAAGAAAGAAAAGCTGGGCAGTACCATTCAGGACATAGGCATAGGCAAGGACTTCATGACCAAAATACCAAAAGCAATGGCAACAAAACCCAAAATAGACAAATGGGATCTACTTAAACTAAAGGACTTCTGCACAGCAAAACAAACTATCATTAGAGTGAACAGGCAACCTACAGAATGGGAGAAAATTTTTGAAATGTACCCATCTGAAAAAGGGCTAATATTCGGAATTTACAAAGAACTTAAATGAATTTACAAGAAAAAAAAATAACCCTATCCAAAAGTGGGTAAAGGATATGAACAGACACTTCTCAAAAGAAGACATTTATGCAGCCAACAGACATATGAAAAAATGTTCATCATCACTGGTCATTAGAGAAATGTAAATCAAAACCACAATGAGATTCCATTTCACGCCAGTCAGAATGACGATCATTAAAAAATCAGGAGACAGCAGATGCTGGAGAGGATGTGGAAAAATAGGAATGCTTGTACACTGTTGGTGGAAGTGTAAATTAGTTCAAACATTGTGGAAGACAGTGTGGTGATTCCTTAAGCATCTAGAACTAGAAATACCATTTGACCCAGCAATCCCATTACTGCATATATCCCCAAATGATTATAAATCATTCTATTATAAAGACACATGCACATGTATGTTTACTGCAGCACTGTTCACAATAGCAAAGACTTGGAACCAACCCAAATGCCCATCAATGATAGTCTGGATAAAGAAAATGTGACACATATACACCATGAAAAATACTATAGCCATGAAAAAGGATGAGTTCATGTCCTTTGCAGGGACATCAATTAAGTCGGAAACCACCATTTTCAACAAACTAACACAAGAACAGAAAAGCAAACACCATATGTTCTCACTCATAAGTGGCAGTTGAACCATGAGAACACACGGACACAGAGAGGAGAACTTCACACACCAGGGCCCATCAGGGGTTGGGTGACTAGGGGAGGGATAACATTAGGAGCAATACCTAATGTAGATGACATGGTGACGGATGCAGCAAACCACCATGGCACGTGTATAACTATGTAACAAACCTGCATGTTCTGTACATGTACCCCAGAACTTAAAGAACAACAACAACAAAAAAAGAAAATAAAAGAAAAATGAAGCTGGTAGCATTAGCTGTAGCATATAATCATCAGCAAATAATTAATGTTATATATCAAAAATAAAAATAGTTGTCAGGGCCAAGCATGGTGGCTCACGCCTATAATCCCAGCACTTTGGGATCTAAGGCAGGCAGATCATGAGATGAGGAGTTCAAGACCAATCTGGCCAATAGGGTGAAAACCTGTTTCTACTAAAAATACAAAAATTAGCAAGGCATCGTGATGTGCACCTGTAGTCTCAGCTACTGGGGAGGCTGAGGCAGAAGAATTGCTTGAACTCTGGAGGCAGAGGTTGCAGTGAACCAAAATAACGCCACTACACTCCAGCCTGGGTGACAGAAGTGAGACTCCATCTCAAAAAAAAAAAAAACAGTTGTCACGTTTTGAATATTTGCTAAGTGCCAGGTCCTGGGCTAAGAAATTACTTTTCTTAATCCTCATCATTATACCATAGAATAGTGGTAAGTTTTTATTAACATTTTACTGAAGCATAATTTACTTTTCTAGTGCACATAGCATAGATGTTGGCCACAGTGAATATTCACAAACTAAAGACACATGCAACCAACACTGAGATAAAGAAACAGAATATGACAAGCATTCTGAGGTCCATCTTTGGGTTCCCTTCCAGTTATGATGCCTATGCAAGGGTGACAATTGTCCTAATATCTAGCAACATGGATTAGTTTTGTCCATTTCTGTTTTCTATACAAGTGGCTTAACAAATAGGTACTGTTGTAGGTCTGGCCTTTTTCACTCAATATGATGTTGTCTGAGATTCATTCACATTGTCGCATGAATATAGACCATTTTTGCTTATTTCTATATAGTATTCCATTATATGAATAAGACAAAATTTATTCAGTCTACTGTTTTTGGACATATGGGTAATATCCCATTTTATTTTTACTATTGCAAATAATTCTTCTATGATCATTCTAGCCCATATTGTTTGGTGATTACTTCAGTACATTTCTTGTGGGTGTATAACTAGAAATGAAATAGCTGGAGAACAGGACATACATATGCTTAGCTTTACTAAATACTAACACTTTACCAAAAATAGTACACAAATTTATATTTCCACCAGTAGTTTAGGAGAGTTCACTTTGCCCCACATTCTCACCAGACTTTGGAACATTCTTTTTGCTTTGCAGCCACGCCAATGGGTGTGCAGTGGTACGCTGTGACGTTAATTTGCATTCCCTTGATGATTAACAAAATCAAGTACCTTTTCACATGGTTGGCTTTATTTTATTTACTTATTTATTTTTCCACATGGATGTTCTTTTTGAGAAATGTTTACTCAAGCCTTCTGCCTATTTTTCTATTGGGCTGTTTTTTTCTAATTTGTAAGAGCTCTTCATATATTCTGGATACAAGACATTTGTGGGATATATGTGTTAAAATACTTTTTTATTTTTGCATCACATTTTTACCCTCTTTTTGATGTCTTTTGAAAAACCAAAGTTAAGTATAATTCGTTCATATATTTTTCTTTTTCTGGTTAGCAATTTTTGTGTCCTTTTAAATAAGGCTTTGGTTACTCAAGGATCATGAAGATGTTGCAAAAGGCATTCTAAGCAATTGGTTTTATCTTTTACATTTAGAGCTGCTATCCATCTGTTTTTGATTTTGTATTTGGTATGAAATAGGAAAAGTAAAGATATATTTAGTAGATTATTTTTGATTATATAAGCACACAATCATGGCATCTGTAAATAACAACAGTTTCATTTCTCCAACATAGATTTTTTAGCCCCTTTTTATATACTGTATACGCAAACTATGATTTCAGAAAGTTACTGTAATTTACACAAGATCCTAGTATCAGAACTAGGATTTGAGCTCGGGTCTGGCAGACTCCAAAGTCTGAGTTCTTAGCCACTATGTTGTACTGCCTAATATGAATCTAAGTTCTATTTTTGGCAAAAAGAAATATTAGCAGTAGTTCTATACAAAAGGCATTCTAAGCAATTGGTTTTCTTCTGAAAACTACCTGTCTTCTTAGGTGCAAGATACAACATTCAAGAGTGCTTAAAATCTTTGGGAGAAACATTCATACTACATAGTTTAAAATAAGATTTAGGAATAATAATTTTTTAGAAGACCTAAGTTTAAATAAATCCTAGACCCACCACACACTGCTAGTATGGCCTTGAACAAATTACATAATTCATCTGAACCTCAGTTTCCACATCTTTAAAACTGAGATAATAACTATAGCACAGGGTTATTGGAACACTTAAATAAGAAAATGCATGTGCGTTCACATGGTAAATGCTCAATAATTTTTACCTGCTATTATTGTGCTGTTATTATATTTATTCATTTATCAAAAACACATTTAGTAGCAACATGCAAAAACTGAAAAAACAAAGACCATCTTAGCCTACGACAAACACCACAACAAATAATTGCCACCTAGGCTAATGAGCAGCATGATGGGGACAGGAGGAAACATCGTGAAAGTGAAGAACAGAGAGCTGGTGACTCACTGTGGGTAGGAATGGGGGTCAGGCAGCTTCCCGGAAGAGGTGACACTCAAGCTAAAACTTGAACGAGAAAGCAGAGAAGACAGGAAGAGCATTCCCAGCAAAAGGACCAGCACGCGGCACAGAGAGGCCTGAAATTACTCCTCCAGGAGAGGAACAAGATTGCCTTACCTGCCTCGGAAGAACCAGAGTTCAGGAGCTGGAGGCCAGGAACACCGAAGTTCATTCTATTCTGCTGGGAGAATGGGATCAGAAAAAGTCACCTCGAGAAGGCATCTGGCTTTAGCGCTCACAGCTTCAGAGCTGGACTGCTCTGCGTTCCTGGGGCTGCAAGAGCAAGCCAGCCTGTCACCACAGCTGATCCCTCCGAGCTGCGAGCTGACGACTGCCTGACCGGAAGTATACCGAGAAGGGTACGGGGTGATGGGAGGTACGTCAAGCCCGGAGTGGGTGAGGAGGAGCCAAACCTCCCACAAAGCCTCTTGAGCAGTTCTTCAAGTAGATGGGGCACACCGGGTTCTATGTGGGAGAGCACTGAGGTGTCAGGGCACATCCGAGATGTTGTCAGGATGTGGTGTCCGGTACTAGGCACCACAGGCAATGGAGAGTAGATCAGCACCGTCTTACCTGAGGAATAAGAGTTTAACCAGGAGCAACACGGAGGAGACCGACCGAGGCCCACGCAGCTGCAGCCTCTTGAATTTCTTGAATCTCATGGAAGACAGATTAGGCATTCCTGTTTTGCACCAGAAGGGAGAGCTAAGTCTTCAGGTGGAAAGTATGGAAAGGGAGATTCGGGCTGTCAACATAAATTCTTTTTTGATCATTAACGAATATTGAGCCAAGCCTCGCGAGGCCTCTTGGAGCACAGCAGCTCACAGGCACCCGGCTCGCTCCCTTCCCACTGCCGACGCCAGAGAGGAAGGGCAGTTCTGCCCAAGGGGCAGCAAAGGAAGAGCCCAAGAGGCCATGGGCATGGCTGTCAGCTAAACCTGCTCCTGCAAAAGTGGAAGCGAAGCCGAAAAGGCAGCAGGAAAGGGTACATCTTCAGACAAAAAAGTACAAACAAAAGGGAAAGGGGGAACAAAGAGAAAACAGGCCAAGTGGCTACCCAAGAAACTAAAGAACATTCACCTGCAGAAAATGAATAAACTAAAATAGAGGAGAGCCCAGCCTCTGATGAAGCCAGAGAGGAAGAAGCCAAGCCTGAGTAAGATCATGTGTGCTGTCTCACAGGCGGTCCCTGTCTCCCCTCTTGTACAATCCAGAAGAGTATTTCTATCAACTGTTTTGTAAATGCAAGGTTTTTAGTAGCTCCAGAAACATTTTTAAGGAGGGAATTCCACCTCATCCCATTTTTTAAGTATATGTTTTTTAAGAGATAAAGTCATTTGCTGGTTATTTTTTGGTACAACCAGAAGACAGTGTGGGATATTGAATTATGGGAGGCTTTGACTGTCTTGGGTGTTAGCTTAACATTCCATAGATGTGTGGCTGGTTTTTATATACTATAATATAAAGCATACGAATAGCAACATGGAGTCAGGAGTCACAGTCCTGCATTTCATGTCTTGGACATTTTAGATTACTTCTAGTTCCACATTGTTTTTCAGTAGAATTGTTTCCTAAAGAAAGCCAGCCCTTGAACATGGCTCTCCCTGTCAGAATTGTGTGCACTCTGTAACATCTTTGGTCACAGTCCTGTTTTCCTAATAACTTTGTTAATGTGCTGTGGAAGATTGAAAATTTGAGTATGTGGCATATATGCTATTCAGTTTTGAATTGGTGGGATGTATGTAACAGTTTATCAATATATGAAGATACTGGGATTCTGGTATTTGATGGCCTCTTAAGGAAAAAATGCCTCCAAATTTTAAGCTGGAAAGTCACCGGAACAACTTGAAAAGGAATTATAATAATGGCTTTTTAGATTATCAGTATATATGTTAAGCATTGTATACAAATTGAAATGTCTGTGTACTGAGCCTCAGTGCAACCAATAGAATCTCGATCATGAAAGAAAAAAGTATTTATGGAATACCTAATATGTGCCAGACACTATTCTAGGCACTTTACAGCAATAGGAGTTATCCAGTCATTGAATGAGATGCCTTGAAAGGTAGGGGGTTCTCTCTCACAAGAGATATTCCAGCAGGGGTGGGTCGATTTCTTAGTGGAATGTCCAAGGAGGAATTGAAGTGTAGAGTAAGAAATTCACCCAGCTGGCTTCCACTTTCTCTTCAACCCTGTGATTCTATGACATCTGCTTTCTAAGAATTGGAGACGCCTTCATAAATTTCCTTTAGAGTTCCATGTTGAATATCTTGGGAAGGCAAAGGAGAAAGGTGGACACCATCCTTCTCACCCTGTGGTAAGAGGTAAATGTAGGAAAGTAGAATGATTTTATCAAAGTAACACAGATGATAGGGTCATGCAGAAGCAGGACTAGGGTCCAGGGTTTCTGCCTCTATCTCCAGCATTTGTTCCCGTCTGTGTCATGGTGCTGAAACCTACTAGCCTGTTGGGTGATGGTCCTGAAAGGATCAGAGCTCCAAGGATTACTATGTAGGGTAGTGTCAGTCCCAGGTCATGCTGTGAATCTAGGGTTACAACCAGGGCAGCCCTCATGGGCAGTGGTCTCACATTGGGCTTACTTCTCAGAAGGTTAATGCTCTGTGGTCACCATGTTGAAATTCTTAATAATTGTATCTTTGAACTTGTGTTTTGTGAGTTGATGAGACAATGGGGCACTCACAGGGGCTTGGAGCCTCAGCTTACTTGTGGTCCTACCTCTTGCCACCTTCTCAGGATGGTTCTCAGTGGGGGCTGTGAAGCATCTATCTCCCCTAGGTCCCACCCCACAACTGTGGCTGCTCTTCACCCCAGGCAGGACACAGGGAGAGTCGGGGACCCAACATGCACCCACAGAGTCTTGGTGGTGAGGCTCGGCAGTATCCCTACTCACCTACTGGATGGCTAGCTGGAGGCCCCATCTCCAGGGGATCTAGCCTCATCTACCCAATCCAGGTACCAAGCAGATCCCAGCACACAGGTTCAAAAATCTTCCAGGGAACCCAACTGCCATGGGTTGGAGGAGAGAGAGCCCATGGAAAGGAAAGACCCCAGTTGCCTCTGGCTGCCTCAGGCAGGGTTCCTTGGCAGCCCTCAAGCAGGAAGAGTGTGCATGCCCCTTCTATCAAGGGGCAGAGGTCCAGGGCACCTGTGAGGTTCCACAGGTGTCCCCACACCTGGAGCACTCCCTCAGCAGGCAGCATGCCTTGCACAGGGAGGGGTATCCCCTCTCTTTTCTTCCCTTCCAGAGCCAGGCTTTGATTTGTCTCGTCTGGACAGCTCAAGGCACCCTTTGGGGAGGGGCTGCAAAATGCAAATTGTGTAAGTTCAGTGATTCCACAAACACATTAAGTGCTTTTCTATTTGCATTTATTTTTGCATTGTACAGTATTAAACTGTAAAATTCCTGCTAATAATTGAAAACTTTAATTATTCTTAGAATGACATTAAATAACAAATGAAAAACACCATGACAAGCTGGGAGAGAGACTGCAAAAGAAAGAAAAAAAAAGCTTTATCTATAACAGCAGTTTTTTTTTCCTGCTTTTTAACCTTGAGGCTCCACATTTTCATTTTGCACTGAGCCTCACAAATTAGATAGCCAGCTCTGGTTATAACTTGCTCCTTGCCTGAGCCAACACATGTGCAAGGCAGGCAGCTGATCCTGAAACCAATGGCTGGAGCCCAGTCTCACAATAATGTTACTGTCTGTGAGTGCCCCGTGGTGACTCACAGCTCAAGACTGTATATTTCTCGCTTGTCTGAATGCAAAGTAAAAGTGGCTATTTTCATAGAACAAAAACTTGGGGAAAATATGGAATTCAGCCCATCTATATGCACTGCTGCACCTGTGACACTCAGCACACATAATAAATATGTCTTTGGAAACTTGCTCGTTTGCAATTTTGACATAGAGAAATGACAAGTATTAAATCTTAAGGGAAAAGAACCAGCTGCTGTAGTTGTTGAATTACTGAGACAGAAGCCTCCAGTCCTGCTGATTTGAACTATCAGGCAGAGACCTCCCAGAAAAGGGCACAGGTGAGCTGGGAGAATGTCTCTGGTATTACCAACCCTGATAAACTCAGGGCCATACATCTAATATCTGAATCTGAACTTTGGAAGCCATGACCATAACCTTAGACTTCAACCAGGAAGAGGACCTTTTTGGGGGCACAAATGCCACGCTAAACCAATGGTTCAGAACAAGGATTTTTGTCCGGTGGAATTTTTCTTCAGACAGAATGGATACCTAGTGAAAGAGCAGGACTAGCAACAGACATATTTGTTCACTGTTCAGCATGATAGCGGTGGTAGGACTCAAGGGTGACAATAGATAATTCTAGAGTGTCAGAGTGAAACATAGCTAGAAGATGATGTGTCCTTTCACCATGGTGTTCCTCTGCCCCAGAGTGGAGCTCTTTGTGGGGGAGCATCAAACCTTTGTTTTTACATCCCCTGCTGTGCCCCCCATACATTATCTCTCATGGAGTGGTGGCTCAGGGCACTTTAAAAAAATTAAATTTGGGCAAGTGCAGTGGCTCACGCCTGTCATCCCAGCACTTTGGGAGGCCAAGGCAGGTGGATCACAAAGTCAGGAGTTCAAGACCAGCCTGGCCAATGTGGTAAAACCCCCTATCTACAAAAAATATAAAAATTACCTAGGTGCAGTGGTGCACACCTGTAGTCCCAGTCACTTGGGAGGCTGAGGCAGGAGAATTGCTTGAACTGGGAGGCAGAGGTTGCAGTAAGCCAAGATCGCACTACTGCAGTCCAGCCTGGGTGACAGAGCGAGACTCCATCTCAATTCAATCAAACTCCTCTCTTCTTTAGTGAGAAAACCATGGCCCAGAGAATTTTGATGCTATCGTTAAAATCACAGAGCTAACAAATAGCAATGCTGGAACCAGGATTGAGACCTCCTTACCCCAGTGGGAGCTGATCCAGTCTATCATACTTGGAGAGAAAATTGGTGTCATTTTCTTTGAAGATTATATAATTCATGTGGAAAAGAAAGAATCTCAACAATAAGCTGCTGCCAAAATGTTAGCAGAATGGAAATGAGGAAGAGGATGGGGTCCAGGCCCGGGTCTGGCTGGGCAGGGGAAGGCCGACAGTTGCTCAGGCAAGGAAGCTGGCCTCTCAGCTCAGGGGGGCCTGCTGTGGTCCCAACTAACACCCCAGGATGAGAGCTCTCTGCAGGAAGAGGATGCCTACTCACAATCTTGCTTACGAGCTTTTTCTGATGGGAGCACTCTTCTCCAAGATATATGTGGATTAATTCATGTCATCCTCATAACAAGCCTGTTAGGAAGGCACTATTATTCATTCCACTTGACTGAAACTGAGGGAAATTTGCCAGTGAGAGAGAGAGTCAGGCTTTGAACCTGGGAGTTTGAACTCTCTATCTTAGCTCCACTGCTCGGCCGCTTGTCTGGCCTGGGGAAGGGGAATGCTCACCAGAAAGAAACAGGAGAAAGTCCTTCACAAGAGGGAATGTCTGCCCCCTCAGTGGCAGCAGGAGTGCAGCACCTGC